CTAGCAGTTGCAGATCGGTTACGTGACATTATAGGCAGTCTTATCATACCATCCCCTCCATAAACTTATCAAGCTCAGTCTTGAAGCTGGTTAGGTTTTTGCCCCCATGGCTCCCCTTGGAAGGCTATTCCAGAACTTCTCTCCTCTGATGATTAGAAAATTTCATCTAATTTTGAGTCTAAACTTGTTGATGGCCAGTTTAGATCTATTTCTTCTTGTGTCTGTGACGGGTTGGATCACAGAAACCCTCTGGGAGCTGCCACCTGATGTGCCAAGACTACTTCTACCCCTGCCTTCCCTGCCAGCTCGGGGCCCCAGCACCCTGTCCTGCTGAGCCAGACACTCCCGTCTGCTCCAACAAAGACCCGGGGTCTGAATTACTTGCCCCAAAGCTGCAGGTTTACCTGAAAGCAGCTAACAGAAGTGTTCCTGTCTTTAACACTCAGATGCCCAACTCCAAATGGAGTCTAAACCCAAATAAATCCGTTTTAACTCATAAATTGTTCGCCCTCTCTAACACTGATAGAGAGATATGCACAATTGTTTGCTCCCCCAGGTATTAATACATACTCTTGAGTTAATTAATAAGTAAAAAGTGATCTTATTAAATACAGAAAGGAGGATTTAAGTGGTTCTATGTAGTAACAGACAGAACAAAGTAAGTCACCAAGCAAAATAAAATGCGCAAATCTATGTCTAATCAAACTGAATACAAATAATCTCACCCTCAGAGATGCCTCAGTACGTTTTTTCCTCAGACTGGACACCTTCCAGGGCACAATTCTTTCCCCTGGTACAGCTCTTGTTCCAGCTCAGGTGGTAGCTAGGGGATTCTTCATGATGGCTCCTCTCCTCCCTTTATTCTGTTCCACCCCTTTATATATCTTTTGCATAATGCGGGAATCCTTTGTCCCTCTCTGGGTTCCCACCCCCTCCTTCTCAATGGAAAGACACCAGGTTAAAGATGGATTCCAGTTCAGGTGACATGATCACATGTCCCTGCAAGACTTCATTGCCCACTTGCTAGCACACAAGTATACTGGAAGACTTACAGGTAAAACAGAGCCATCTGCAGACAATTGTCCTGGTTAATGGGAGTCATCAAGATTCCAAACCACCATTAATGGCCCACACTTTGCATAATTACAATAGGCCCTCAGAGTTATATTTCATATTTCTAGTTTCAGATACAAGAGTGGTACATTTATACAAATAGGATGATCACACTCAGTAGATTATAAGCTTTGTAATGATACCTTACAAGAGACCTTTTGCATGAAGCATATTCCAGTTACATTATATTCACTCATTAGCATATTTTTATTAAATTATATAGACTGCAACGTCAGTCACTGGCATTTAATTTAAATAACTCCTCCTATCCCTGGTATTTATCCCTCTGATGTATTGATAGAGAGCAATCATATCTCTCCTCAGCCTTCTTTTGGTTGGGCTAAACAAGCTAAGCTCCTTGAGTCTACTCTCATAAAGTAGGATTTCCAGTCCTCGGATCATCCTAGTAGCCCTTCTCTGCACCTGTTCCAATTTGAATTCAGTTTTCTTAAACATGGGAAACCAGAATTACACACAGTATTCCAGGGTTCTTGATCTCAAACAACCCACCCTAGCCTTCTCAACAATCCTGGGAGCAGCCCATTTCTTCCTGTATGTTAGATGTCTTTGGAGCAGACAGGATCCAAGGAGTGTGAAGAGGGGGAGAATAGATAGGCTGATGGAAGGGTGAAAGGAGATTCACCAGCTCCCCATCTGTGCGAAAACCTCAGGTGCATATTCATCAAACTTTTATGAGTGTTCGGACATTTCGTGCAGCTCTAGAAAGCTTTTCTCTGTGCATCCGATCAGAAGAGCAGTGATACAGGGCAAGCTCAATGCTACTCAGTGCAAACCAGGTCAAACAATTAATATATGCAATGCAGAAAATTACTTACCCTGTTAATACATAAACCTGCCAACTATAACTCTTCTGAGCCACAAACCCCAGTGTCTAGAACCTAATTATGGCTCAGAGCCATGCATATTGGGGGCCGGCGTAGAGGACATCCGCTGTTTCAACAGTGATGGAGGGAGGCATTGTGCCTGTGTAGGATTGGATCATCCATAAGGTCTCCAGAGGTGCTCTGATTGCCAGCCCTTCCTTCACCTTTTGAAAAGGGGTAGCATATATTGCCTCCAAATGCTTGCTTGACAGTGAAGTTTGGGGGCGTGGCAACAGACTTGCTAATGACACCATTCAGACGTGCCCTTCAGTGGTGGTGGTGGTGCTGCTGCTGACAGCAAAAGCTCTGGCAACCTCTCTCTGGTACTCAGAGACCAAAAGCAGTCCCATAATGTGTATTTCCTGTGTGGAAATATGGTGGCTGATATCTTCGCCAACATTAGATTGAATTGGGGATCTCTGGAGTTGAAAGCATGAGTCACTATAGCTTGAGCTAAAGAAATAGGCTCTCCAGCTGGGAGCGGTAACAGACTCTCATATTCTGTGGATCAGGCATTTAGGGGGATAGGAAACGCATGCTGTTGAATTATACAAGCCTAGGCTGGGGGGCAAGGAAGGAGACCTGCCACTGCCCCATAAATGCTCGGGCAGCCATATGGTATGCGGTAGGTAGGACCTTTAACAGTGCCATTAGTACAGTAAAAGGTTAAGCATCTATACAGAAAAAGCTTCACTGAAGTCACACTAAACAGATTTCTAATGGTGTCTGAATTCACTGAAAGTAGTTGCACTCCTCTGAGGTGGTGCTAAACAGATTTGATTTGGGGTGACCTGTTCAACTTGTCTTGTATCTTAAACACTAGTTTTCTTTCTGGTCTATTTATGCCTTTTAATTCAATTCCCTGTATTCAAAGTGCAGCATATAAGACAGCAATCATATAAAATAATGTTGATGTAATTCTATTACTTTCTATTCTGTTGTGCTCTCTTATTCACTCTAATAGAATTACTTAAACATTATTTGAGATCATTGTTGCTTCAGAGTTTGCCTACACTTGTTGAACTTAAATATGTGGAGGGAACATTCAGAATAGGGAATGTAGTACCTGGGTGGATAACCTTGCTGAACAGTGACTACAGGATAATGGAACAGAGGGAGTAGAAGGTGAGATAGGGATTCAAAAAGTCAGCTGAAAATGGGGTGTATGCTCTGGCGAGAAGCTTGCACACTGGCTTAATAAATCTGCTGGCCATGGGGTATATGCTTTGGAGAACTTGCATGCTAGTTTAATAACAGGAAATATTGAGTCTTTGCTCTCTCTGAAGCATGAATCTTGCCTGTTAATCAGGAAGAAAAAAGCACTTCATAGAATCTACAGCAAATATGGGAGTCTCATGGGGAAAAGAAACTTGCGTAAGTGCTTTTTGACAGCCATGTATTTAATACTTAAAAATACACAAAAAAGGGAAGAATCAATACAGGAACAAAATCAGTGAAAGGGAAAGCTAATGTTACAGTGGTGACATGCATTCATGTCCTGCTTTTGCCTGGTAATGCAGTACCATTAATACGTCTCTACACAGGTTGATTTGAGTGCAAGCCATTGCTTACGTTTCCTATGGAAACAAGGGCTTGAAGTAACATGAGCCAATACCAGTGCAAGATCTGGTGAGAAGTCACCCCAGATCTTATGAAGGAACCATGGAATTGATGCACCAGCATAAGAGTCATACAGAAGGATCTTTGCAAGCATGACCGCCTCTCTCTCTCATTTATATTAATTGTTCTCTTCACATGATACTTGTATGGGCGAAATCCATCCCTGTTGTAACAACATGACTTCAACTGCAAAGCCATAATTTACTGGCTCTAATAATTATCAGGCATCACAGCACCGGGGAGTTTGAAGGAGGCTAATGTAGTGGTTTTGCAGATTATTACAAGGAACTCTTCCCAAGTATTGGGGGTGGGGATTGCATGGGAGAAAGTACAAAGGTGCCTGTTGGAAAATGTGACAAAATAGGCTATAAAGGCTGGCATCATTGGCAGAGCAGGTGTTGAGGGCTGTGTACAGTGAACAAGATAACAGGTAGGGCAGGGCTAAGCCATGAAGGGAGTTAGAGGATCCTCCAAACAAATGCTGAAAGAGCAAGTAGAGAGGTATGAGAGATAACAGGAGAAGACAGAGTCATGAAAGCCTAATAAACAAGTGATCTGATATTCAAAGGTGTTAAGCCAATATTATCTAGCAGTCTACTTTCTGATTTAGGGTATTTTGCTTAAGCTTCCCCTAAAAGCTTCCCCTGGCTGGAAGTGTCATGGGTCTCCAAAAGAGCCCTCAGCCTTCTAGGGAGGACTGCTAATAACCTGTGATTTTTCTTTTAATATCACAAAGACAAAATGTCAACATTAGTGACAATTGGTTTATATTGTAACAGGCTTCCCCTCCCCAACAGCTGGGGTGCAGGTGGGATGATTTGAGAGAGGCCTGGGAATGGCCATTGAAACAAAGCATTCTCCTTTATTTATCTTTTACCTTAGCGTTTCATACAGTTGCCCATCACTGTAGTATTTCAGCATCTTCCATACAAAATCGCTTGCAAAAGCAAAGTCTCTAGCAGACATCATAGAGTCTCTAGATCTTCTCCTTTCTCAGCGTAAAAACCCCTGCATGGGGTAGGGTGGTTTGGTGTGGGGGTTGGTTTTATTTGCTTACTTGGTTTATTTGTTTGTCTTTTGGGAGGTGGAGCCACTGGTTTCCAGCTCTAGGGGAGGCGGGCACTATTGGGTGAGAGCTCTGGCTGCATTCAAGTGTGCTGGATTCTTTTTGATAATGTGTTCTGGCCTCATTTCTTTAGATGCCCCTGATGCTACAGTATTTTCAAGGCTATCTGCAAGAAAAAGGACTAGTTTGCAACCCCCCTGGGGATCATGCCCTGCATATTGAGCACCCCTACCTTACTTTGATAGTTTCCCCCAAATGAAAGGGAGCTCAGACCCATAACAGAACATTTTTCCTCACACTTGATCTCACCTGCTGACATGAACACTGATGTATGTGACAAAGGGATCCAGTACCTGAACACAGGAGGAAAGAAATCTGTGGAAAATTCAGGCAATTCTGGCTGCAAAGCCAAAAATATTGGTTGCCTTGTAGTGGTCATAAAGGAAGCACATTGAGCCAAATTCTCTATTGGTGTCAACAGGAAACAATAGAATGGCAAACATTTACACCAGCAGAGAATTTGGCCCATTGAGATTACTTTTGGGTTTCTTTCTATCTATCTATCTAAAAAACATAAAAGTTCTCATTGCAGACTTGTTTCTGTAGGCCATTCTATATCAGTCCAGCATGAAGCCAGGAGACAAACTGAACTACGAAGAGTGAATATTAAAGAGGTCAAGACAAAATGATCTTTTGAAGTAAGGAACCAGTCAAAGGGATATAACTCCAAATGGTCAACACTGGGTTCTGTTATGCTCTTTCACGTGGGACATAGAGAAGCACTAGGCTTTGAACATGTTATCCCTGCTTAATTGTGAAGCACAGCAGACAACAAGGGTACATCTACACTATGACATGACTGCAGCTGGCCTGGGTCAGCTGACTCGGGCTCGTGGGGCTCAGACTGCAGGGCTGTAGACATTTGGACTCAGGCTGGAGCCCGAGCCCGAATGTCCACACAGTAGTTTTACAGCCCTGCAGCCCCACAAACCCAAGTCAGCTGACCTGGGCCAACGATGGGTGCTTAATTGCAGGGTAGACGTACCTTAAGTGCACATATCATACATCATTTGTCTTCTAACCAAGATCAATGGATGGAAGTAGATGAACATAAGGGATTGTTTGTGACCATCTGATCCAAAGCCTGAAAATGTCTTTCAGCAAGGCCGTGCCAGGTGTAAACCAAAACCATATGTTCTTGCCTTTGAGATTTATCTGCTGCAGTGTTTTTCTAATTCAGCCTCTGTGAGCTTCTCCCCTCCTGTGTGCTAGCATCAGTGTTCTTGTCTGAGCATGCTCCGCTGAGTCAATCTTAGGCCATTATTTAATTTGGACCTCTTTTCATCTTCTAACATGTGGGAAGGTAATATGCATTACTTCAATGGCAGTCAATAGCCAGACATATCTCCAAAGCCAAGAGGCTAAGTACCACAGGAAGTCAGAAATGGAGCAAGAAAAGAGCCAGAGGCCAACATCAAGAAATCATGGTGTGACTAGAGTCCAGTGGAATTCATGTAAAAAATCCATTACTGCTCTTTTGCTTCACAACAATGGGGCAGCAGAAAAAAATCTCTTTATTCTTATAGTATGATCATGAACGTATTTATCCTGGTCAGAATATCTAAAGTACTTTAAAATATAATTCTATAAGAACATTTTTTTTTAAATCTAAGGAAAATACAGTTACAACCCTGTAGAAAAAAATATCAGGATAAAATTACCAGTCTGGACCTAATTGTTCCTGTAAGGCACTAGCCACTATAAGGGACAGCACAGAAATGCACTGTCCCAAGGAGAAGTTGGAGAGGGATTGTGCATCAGGAAGCTCCAAGGGGTACCAGAGGATTGCACCGAATGGTGCAACCTTCTACCCATGTTCCCAGTGCAGAGTGTGTGGGTGTGAGCTATGGCCCTGCTTCCTCCCCTCCCTCTTTTTGATAATGTGATTGTTTCTGGTCCTTCTGTGGGGGTACACAGCAGGGAGCAGAGAAGCTCCTTGTACCCTCCCACCCTCATGCATCTCATGAGGAGCAGTCACAATCTGGCTCATTTCCCCCCCCCCCCCCCCACAAACACACAGAATGTCAGCTTAGAAAAGAATTATTTTCCCTAAATCTTCCCACATGCTTACATCTTGGAAATGATTTGCATATAGCAAATGGGTAATGTGCTTGCATCCATGCTACATGTTTTCTCTTATGCACAGACAATACACAATGAATAAAGAGAGTGCGGCTCAGTCCTGTAAGATATATTTTCTCGTCATTTGTCTCCAAAGCAGACAGCTGTTTCTTATCTGGCTCCGGCTTCCATCTTCTTAAGACAAGAAATATATTCTTAAAAAAACCCAGTGAGGATGTTAGGCAGAACATTTCGGAATGGAGAAAACCCCTGTTTCTTTGGAGTTTTCTTGAAAGCTGCAACTGTCCCTTGAAGTGGTGGCTATTGACAGCCAATGAATTTCATTTCCATTGGAGACATTTTGTTTAAAATTTTCTTTCTGTACGAAGCCAATGTTGGATTTGAGAAAGCAAAATCAATAATAGGTGTCAGCAAATGGTTGCCCTGCTCATTCTGCCTTTGACAAGTAATTTTAGGTGACCCCATTTAATCAGGATGAGACAGTACTTAGACACTGTTTAAGAAATTACCCTTTGATTTGTGCTCTGGATAAATGATTCATGAAAGAGCCATTCCAGTTTCTTGCCAGCTCGGAGTGGTCGCATTCAAATTGCATTCTGGAAATGCAACAATGAAAACTGCTACAGTGAAGTGTCAGCTGCAATGCTAGACTTTGACTGTAATGTAATTAAGTCAGTGCATTGCGGAAATGGAATGTAACTTCATGTAAAACAGTTAGTCTGTCAAATAAGCAAGCAACAAAACAGTTTGTGTACCTGTTTATTCACATTTATCAGTGGGCCCTGATGAAGTGGATGTTTGAATTGGTGTAAGTATATTTGTCTCCTGATATGTAAAAAACTTGCCATCTCTTGGATGGTGGATGTTTTAATTATATAACAGATATGTAGAAAACTGAAATGGGTATTTTAAAATTAAGCAAAGGCCATTGTTTTATCTTTTTTCTAATTAATAAATATAGTGCGCTTATTAGGAGTTGTAATTTACAGTCAGTTCCCTGTACTGAATGTATAAAAAGGTTTCCTTGATTAAGTGGACTAATAACAAATTAAGTAGATCATAACACATCACTGTGGTCTAGCATTTACCCTCATATTTTAGGTATTGCTCAAATATATCAGAAATGATTTGAAATCTAATTGGCATAACGCAGAGGACCAGTTTAATTAGTTGGCTTAGTTTGGTAACCTCATTTACAAAGAAAGCAGCCACATTTTAACCACAATGCCTTGCAACGTGCAATGATTTAAAAAATAATTCAAAACTGGCCTACCATATAAAACTGGATGCCAGAATCCCAATCAGTGCAAAATTGATGTGATTAGCAGATTGCCTTCCTTTTCACTATTCTGCTTACATTCCTATAGATGTGTAATGTACACTCCTTCCTTCCAATCCTGTATACGTGCGAGGAATGAACAAATGACAAAGGGATTTGTTTCTCATGCTAATCAGAGGCTGCAGAGGATTTAGAAGTGCCTCTATTAAGTTATATGTCTAAGAAAGCTTACAAGCTGTTCTAATAAAATAGATGTGGCCCTTCACACTAAAGATACATTAATATAAAAAGGACTGCATTTTTGACAAGAAAATTTTTTATTTGTCTGCCAGCTTAGTGGTAACATCAACTTGAGACACGCCAAGTTCAGAGACATGAGACTCAGGAGTGTTTTTTTCTAGAAAACTTTAGCAAGGCTTTTCTTGTTCTTCTCTACATTTTCATGATATTTTATAGCAGCACAGATGCACACACAAACCCAAAGACACATCAAATAATGTTGTGACATTATATGTGTAGCTAATATACCATATCAAGGAATGTTTTCTCCCAACTGTTTGCTGTGTTCTGGACTTCATTATATAAAAATCTTCGCCAAAAAACAGGCATAATCCTTGTAGCTTTGCTAGTAGCATTCATCTTCTAAGGATCTGAGGACTCAGAAATGACAAATACAGCATCAGTATTAATACTTCACTTGATAAATTGCAGAGATCTAGATGCATTGCTTAACATTGTCAACTGTGACTTCCCAGCAAAGTGAAAGGCATTTGAAAAATTACCGCTGGTGTTTCAGGCTAGGGGAAAACTACTTTTTCAAACAATAAAATGGTTTCCTTTATGGACTGCTAAACCAGAATCAGGGTTTTAATTGGGGGGCGGAGGAGAGAGACAGGGATGTTCCTGCAGCTGAACCCTCGAAATAGCTATGTCAGATTATTTAAAGGCGGAATTCCTAATGGGATCTCCAAATCCATCCCCTACTTATGAGCCATCTCATGGAATGATAAAGATGTCTTTATGGTGATACTGTGAGCCAGTCATGAGAAGAGAATCGCATAAAATAAACCATTTGAAAATGTGAGTTTGTCGCTGGCTCTTTAGTGGGACGAGTAGGGAAAATGCTGCCAAGGTTTATTAGTGACTTGGATCTTCTTTCTGAGCTTGGGTTGCATACATAGAATTAAAGGGAAGAGAGCAATTAAGCTGTAAATCATGAGAGCTCCTGGGTTACTTGGTTACTTGTTCTGACCTTGCATAGGCTGTGAGATATTAGATCAAAGCCCCTTAAACCCACCTGAGAAGTGCTCAATTTGCATAACAATTAATCCTATCACTTTTTATCTCACCAGTTGCTGTGGCTTAATTGTAATAATAATAATTAATAAAGTGCAAAGAGAACAAAACAGAAGTGGCCACTCTCATACTGGGTTCTGACAGGCTGCCAAGGGGAATGAAATATTCCATTGGGTTGGAACAGCCCTTGCACAGTGACTCCACAGTCCCTCTGAGGCATAGGGTAGGAGTTGGTCCTACATGTCCACTAGGCTCTGAATGTTGTCTTAACCCTCTTAGTCCTTCAGAATTCAGACAACCTCCCTCCTCAGGGAGAATGCATCTCACACACATATTCTGTCTCGCAATAAGGCCATGACAAGGGAAAACATCACTCAGCTTTGTTTTCAAAGGCCTTACTTGTGTATGTTCTGAGTAGGGACTAATGCAAACAAGCAATGAATACAGGTTATAACTTATTGCTGGAAACAACAGAAGAGTTCACTGCATTTTGATATTTCTCCCACTATATTGGATGTAGTCCTATCAAGTCTATGTAATCTACCAATATAGGTACTTATAACACACTCGTAGTCATAGTATCTGAGTGCTTTAGAGGTTACCTCTATGGAACAATGATCCTTGTGCATATAAAGGAGTCACCAAACGAAGCCTTTGTTTTAAGTCCCATATGAAATATGTTCTCCACCTCCCTCAGCATGCATACAAAGTCCCAGAGGCAAAAACGCCAAATAGCAAAAAGAAGGTTACTAGCTAGTTGTGCTTAAGGGCAGATTGGTCAGCCAAAGCAGGTGACTGAGGGAGGGGAAAAATTTGTCAAGTTACAGGGGAATCTTTGTTTCTAACTCTAGGTCCTTCTTCAGTTATCAGCAATGATGATGATTCGGCAAGTCCCCTCCATCACATTTCGAATGGGAGTAACACTCCATCCTCTTCTGAGGGCGGCCCAGATGCTGTCATCATTGGAATGACAAAGATTCCTGTCATTGAAAACCCCCAGTACTTTGGAATCACCAACAGTCAGCTCAAGCCAGACACATGTAAGTACAGATGTTTATATGTATTTTGGTCATTTATTTTTCTCAGCCATGAGCTGGGTTTCTTTACTCGAGCTAATGGGGTAATGATGTAACTTGCAAGGGTAGTGGGGGGGGGGGGGTTTAAAATGTATTCAAGTCATTAAGGACATTGGTACATGGGATGAACTGCTTTACATCTGTCAAAGCCAAAAAGCCAAATTCAGCCCTTGTGAGGAGTCAATTAAGATAGCTGCACAGAAAGCCTACAAAGTTCACTGAAGTCACTGAGAGACTTTCCATTGATTTCAATGGCCTTTGGATCTGGCCATTGGACCTAATATGAATTTGACCCAGTGTATTCTCAAGAAAAGACTAATCTTGCTTTGGGCCAGAACCAGAAGTCAATATTTGCATAGTATCGTTATATACATTCTGTTAGCAAATTACTTGTGTTGTGGCTATGAATGTAAATTCACTTTGAAATATATATATTTTTAAAAGTAATGCTAAAATAGTGTTGAGATTAGAGGGTGACAACTTTTATTCTTCTGAGTTATTTGTATAGTTCAGGCTTTATATTTAAAAAAGGTGTTTAATATTTAAGATGAAGCACTAGGTTTTGTTTTCACCTCAGATGAACAGTAAGTTTAACTGTCACATACATGTTCTCAGTCCATCAGGTTGTAGGCATACGAAGTGAGCGGTTAAAAAAGCACGCCAGGCTTCTGTTACTGATCTCCAAAACAAATATTAGTTTTGCAAATGAACATTTTAAAAGTTGGGGGAGGCTGTTATTGAAACATTAAATATAATAGTACAGCAAATAATAAATATATTGTGGTCATCCACAAATACTGTGGATAACTACTAACACTAACATATTATAGCAGGTGAGGCAGTAATTGCTATAATCAGAGTTTCTTAATGGTTTCCATTCTAATTCACAATTTTCAGTCATTTATAGCTATCTCAAACTTTTACCTTTTGGACTGAAATTGTTGTGGCTTGGTCCCTAGGGATTTTTTAATGCTTCAGCAAAAAATGGTTTTGTAGCATGAGAAGAATGAGAAAAAATTACTTTCCTCATTATTAAAAAAAAAGCAATCTTTTTTTTTTTTTTTGAACAGTCTTAAACAGGTTGAAAATTGCGGTAGAAATGGCCCATATTGATGACAAATGCCTTTAAGTGTTCCAATAAAAATTATTCTCATTTGACCAAGTTATGAGCCTTAATACATTGTACACTTGACATGCCCAATAGATTTTGTATAAGCTTTTCCTTAAATTCATAGGCTGCCTGATCCATTTCCCATGGAAGTCAGTAGAAAGACTCCCATTGACTTCATTGGGCTTTGGATCGGGCCCCATGTGTGTGGTTGAGGAATGCTACATTGTATATTGATGCATGTAATTGATTTAACTATGCAGCAAAAAGTTTAGTGTGGATGCACAAGCTGGGTCTTTTGCCTTAAACCTTAGACAGTTTACAGAGCGTAACAGGAACCCTCCTCCAATCGCTGTGTGTTTTTTAACAAGTGGAAAGGCTGAGAACAGGTAGGGTGACCGATGCCCCAATTTTATAGGGACAGTCCCAATATTTGGGGCTTTTTCTTATATAGGCACTTATTACCCCACCTCTGTCCTGATTTTACACATTTGCTATCTGGTCACCCACCTTTCCTGTGAAACCCTGAGATAATTCCACATTGTGCACTTAAGCACAATCTACCGCAGAATGTCAGGGTGCCTTGGCAACACCAACTTTTGACACTTTCTGGCTTGTATTCATGCAATCTTAATGTTCTCTTAATGTTATTTTATTATATAGAATTATTGTATAATACATCTCCAAATAATCTGATATACCATATGCAGTATGCTGAAATAATTTTTTTGTACTTGATAAGCATAAGGAGAACATTGTATATGTGTATTGTGATTGGGAACTCAATTCCTATGAAAAATATAATTCATTAGGGGATTACAGCTGGAGCAATGTGCCCTCATGCCATCTACAAAGTTACATAAAGGACCAAGTTTATGAATATTAGGCTCTTGTACTCCTGCCCCCAGCTACGTTAAAACACATTTTAATTGTTCTTCTGAAAGCAAACTTCCATGCATGTAAAGTCTCTGGCTTTAGCAAAAATATTTTAAAAATGTATGTGCTCTGTTCCAAAACAAAGAGGTCATTTGAGTTGAATAGGAGGTTGGAGCTCAGCTATAGAAGCATTGCATCACAATTGAACAACACTAACTACAGTAAAAGTTGTAAGTCAACAATCTCAGGTCCTGATCCTGAAAAGTCTCAGGTCTTTTCTACTGAGGCCTTAACTAGAGCAGCAACACGCACTATGCAGGGGTGATTTCTAAAGTGCACTGACATGTTGTGCATTAATTGGTCTGTGTAGACTCTGCTGGTGCACACTAAAAGTTTCATAGCATGTTTTAGTATAGTGCCTATTTGAAACACCCCCCACCCCAGTATGCATAACTCCACTGTGTAGACGTGCCCTTAAACATGTACTTGATTTTGCACATTGTGAGTAATATCACTGACTCTAATGAAATTACTCACAGGGAAAAAATTAAGCATGTGTGTAAATGTGTAGAGAATGAGGGTTTAAGTCTTCACATTACTATGCATGATATGATTTGAATGATGAGGAAGGTGGAGATCTGTACATCAGGTCATTCTATGTTCTGCTACACTGCGCTGATAAATAAAATAAATAACTAAATGGAGATATCCTGTCTCCTAGAACTGTCCAGCCCCCTGCCTTCACTAGCAGAACAAAGTACTGATTTTGCCCCAGATCCCTAAGTGGCCCCCTCAAGGATTGAACTCACAACCTTGGGTTCAGCAGGCCAATGCTCAAACCACTGAGCTATCCCTCCTCCCTGAGAACTGATGTTCTCAGTGTCTGAGATATTTGGGTTTTTATTATTTTAAACAGAACCAGGTAAACTACTATAGCACAATATAATCAAGACAAATCTGGTCTCTTCTAGCACATTAAGCATGTCCAATAAAGAGGGTAATTTGAATTGTCTGAGACAAAAATGGTCTTCCCATGAATAATTTCACACACACTCTCTCTGTCTCATTCACTCACTTTTTATTACAGTGTTGCACTTGTCCTTCTCCGATCTGCAAACCTCCTCCTGATTTGTATTTTTGATATTTTTATAAGCTGTAAGCTCTCATACCGTTTTCCTGTTTACAATAATACCAGCTCAAAATGTCATCTGGTTTCTCATCTCAAGTAAAATAATTAACATTTATGTTTACTCCCTATCGAGCCTAAATACAGCTGTTGTCTAAGTATTAGACACCCCGTCAATGACTGTCATGATGGAAAATGATTGTCATGCAGGACCCTGTGTGATTAATATTTTTTATGCTGCATTTTTGGGGGCTAAGTGGAATCACTTTCCAACACTAATGCTATATTTAAATGGAATTTGAAGGAGCATGTTTGCAGTGAGTAGCAAGTGGAGTTTGTTTTTTCGTTCTCCATTTAAGTGATGTTTTAACCTCTCGTCAAATACCTAATCCTGTAGACAGAGCTCCAACACTAACTCTGAGAAGTGTGTGTGTGTTTATAAAAATAGCAATCATAATAAATCCCATTTGAAATTCCATCACCAAAAAATCAGCATTTCTGCCACTGAAAAAAATCATTCCTGAGAAGTACCAGCATCTAAAAGTCTGGGAATGAGGAGACTAGACATGATAGTGCTCCCTTCCCCTCCTGGTACAGTCACTCAAGATGAAAAATCAGAACTGGTGAGGTTTAGTTTCAGTAAGCACCCAAAAGTGTGGAGGTGAAATCCTGGCCTTGATTTCATTCTGGATGCTTATCTAGACATTCACTGAATGTACTGATAGACAATTGAAAATGACCCTCCCTCCCTCATCCATGCCTATGTGATATTTCCCATTCCAGCCATCCGCGGTTAACCATCCATTTTCCTCTGGCTGTCCAGCAAGCCCACAGGACTATACTCTAGCTTCTGCCCATTTCGCACCCCCATCCTGCCATGGCATGAACACTCACCTACTGCTGGCCTCAGGTTCCTCTGCCTTCTATTCAGGGTCACATAGAGATTTGGAAGGGCCTGTGACAGTATCTGACACAGGGCCTCCATTCTTCCAAAGAAATTACCACTGGGAGTGCAGGTTGTGCGCGGGTGATGGTTGGAGAGGCATTGATCCTGCAGCAGCATCTCCTGTCTGGTAGGGCTGGGCCAAGCTCTCTGCTCCAGGCATTGTGAACTGGTTTGACTTGGCTGATGCTCAGGACTTAAATTCTCAAAGAGTACTTCCTGGAGTCCCCCGGGAGAGGCATTGGGACTCAGAGAGTCAGTCCCAAGAGTTTAAAAATATTTACTGGAACTTCGCTCCAGACAGCTCTAGCTGAATTTAAGCCCTGCTGCTGCTCCATCATGACACTGTGCACTAGGTTGCTCCACCACTCGGTTTGGGATCCCTCTCAAACAGGGGGCCTGGGCAAACTGCTCCCCGCTCTACTCCCCCAGGTGGACCTGCCTTTATTGGCTGATCTGCCACTGCAGAAGGCCTGAGGGTTTCCACTTGAAATTTTTGCATTCTGTGATGCACTGAGTACCTTAAGGCACACCAAACTTGTTCACCTGCTTCTACTTAAACTAAAGTCAAGTATCAGCCCTTTTTGTTTGTAGGTACCTGGCTAACTGGGTGAGAGCACTCAGAGCCTGGACATGACAAAATGATCTTTGGCATGAGATCATTTTAAACAAAGTTGCAATGAACGGGGAGCACCCTGTAGTCGTCTCACTTGGGAATGGGACTTTCAAATGTCACTATCAGAAATGAGGCCAGACATTCGAGTGAAGTAATCTTCAGTGTAGGACACTCACGTAGATGGCAAACCTTCCAGAGATTATCCTTACTTGGCACCAACTATACTGTCTAAAACCTCACAGGTGCAATGGCTAGCTGTGCTATAAAGGTCATTTTTTGTGTCTTGTGAGTTTTA